ACACACACACACACACACACACACACACACACACGCACAGAGCATATTAAGAATTAAGTGATTGTCGGGAATGCTGGAGCAGAATGGACAGAGGGAGGACGGAAAGGAGAAGGTCGGGAAGGAGAAGAAGCTGGTGGACTTTTTCCTTCTGTACCGCACGTTTTTTCAAACCTAGGCGTGGTGGTGGTGGAGGAGGAGCACGAGAATATTATCATGGAGAATGAGGAGGTGCCTGAGAAGAGGGGGCGCGGGGGGGAGGAGGAGGAGATGGTAGTCGTGAAGCCAGATGGGGTCGAGGAGAACGAGACCATAGCATTAAGTGCTTTCAATTATCTAAAACTTTCCGTCAGATTCGTTATTCGCATCATTAGATAAATGCAATGATTGATTGACTGATCATTGATACATTGGGTAGATAATCATGCTGGCCTTCGCTGTAAGACACTGCAACCCTGACCAGGCCGACCCGGTGTTTAACAAGGGAACCATACAGGTCGTGGTATTGGCTCCATCCCTGGGCGGTTGCAGTATGCACACCCACCCTCTTGCAGAGGACTCTCCCTGGCATCCTGCTGATTGTCACCACGTTCGGGTGCTCTTTCCGGCCAGTTACCATGCTGTTTGAACGACCCTGCATACACACACACACACACACACACACACACACACACACACGCACACACACACTTTTTTTAAGAAGTAGTCGGGGGTTTGGAGTGCCTGCAGGACTCTTAGAGGAGCCGCTCTGTTCGTGATGTCTGCAGGGTGCATTTGGTATATGCGTGATGATAGACATCCGTCGGAATGTCTTCCGGGCTCAGCAGGTGGTGGGAACGAACAGTCAGGGGGCTCACTAGTGATGTGAGCAGGTGATGTGCCGCTTTGTTCCGTGTTGGATGTGTAGACTGCCTTGTCTGGGCTCCACCGCTGCTTTGCTGCCAGTCCCCCATGCATCGCATGTGGTTGTTTGCAAGCTGCTCTGTTCATTGCGTGGTGTGGCTGCAGTGTTAGTGTTGCTCTGTGCCTCGCTGCGCTGCTGCCTTCCTTCCCATCCATGTGCGTTCGTTGCTTGTGTGACCGTAGTGTGCCTTCCTGCCCATCCATGTGCGTTCGTTGCTTGTGTGACACGTAGTGTGGCTGCTGTGTTAGTTTTGCCGTGCCCTTTGCTGCGCTGTTGCCCTGCTGCTCTGCCTTCTGCGTTCCTTGCTTGTGTGCCGTGCAGTGTGGCTGCTGTGTTAGTGTTGCCTTGTGCTTCGCCGCGCTGTTGCCGTGCTGCTCGTCTGCTTGCCCTGTCGTTCCCTGCACCCGTTTTCCATAGTTGCCTTGTGCTTCGCTGCGCTGTTGCTTGCAGCTTGCTGCTGACTTCGGTTTGCGGACCGTCTGCCTTCAACAAGTGTCAAATGGTTCACGAGTCATGACCCACATCATCAATACGTGCATTCAGCAGACTATCAAGGGTTCAATCTCCTCACCAGTCACTGCAACTCCTACATAACAATCTATCATCATCACCGTTCGTGTGCGTCTGTGTATGTGTGTGCGTGTGCCTGTGCGTGTGTATATGTGTGTGGTGTGTGTGTGTGTGTGTGTGTGTGTGTGTGTCTGTGTCTGTGTGTGTGTGTGTGTGTGTGTGTGTGTGTCCCGCGCCTCGCGATGCACATC